CAATGATGAAAGAAACTGAAGACTACACAAATGGAAAGATATTCTGTGCTCATTTACTGTTAGAATTAAATATTGTTAAAATGTCCATACTACCCAAAGTAATCTAAACATTTAATGCAATCCCTATCAAAATACCAACAGCACTTTTCACAGAACTAGAACAAATAATCCTAAAATTTGTATGGAACCACAAAAGACTCCAAATAGCAAGAACAATCTTGAGAAAGAAAACTGAAGGTATCACAAACCCAGATTTCAAGATATACTATGAAGTTGTAGTAATCAAAATCATATGATAGAGCCACAAAAATAGACACATAGATCAATTCAACAGAACAGAGAGCCCAGAACCCATGCTTATGTGATCAACTAATCTATAAAAAAGGAGGAAAGAATATAAATGGGGAAAAGATAGTCTTTTCAATTAATGGTGTTGGGAAAACTGGACAGCTACATGAAAAAGAATGAAACTGGACCACATCCTTACACCATACACAAAAATTAACTCAAAATGGATCGAAGACCTAAATGTGAAATCGGAGACCTGAAATCATAAAATTCCTAGAAGAAAACAATGGCAATACTCCCTTGGACATCAGCCTTAGCAACATTTTTCTAGATATGTCTCCTCAGGCAAGGGCAGCAAAAGCAAAAAATAAACTATTGGGACCACACCAAAATAAAAAGCTTTTATATAACAAAGGAAACCATCCACAAAACAAAAGGCAACCTAATGAAAGGAAGAAGATATGTGTAAATGATGTATCTGATAAAGGGTTAATATCTACAATATATGTAGAACTTACATAACCCAACACCAAAAAAACCCAAATAATCTGATTAAAATGGGAAGTGAACCTGAACAGATATTTTTCCAAAGAAGACATACTGGTGGCCAACAGAAGACAACAGGCCAACTGATGAAAAAATGCTCTACTTCACTAATCATCAGGGAAATGCAAATTAAAACCACAATGAGGTATTACCTCACACCTGTTAGGATGGCTATTATCAAAGACAAGAAATAAGTGTTGGCAAGGTGTGAAGAAGAGGGAACCTTCATATACTGTTGACAGGGATGTACAGCCACTTTGGAAAACAGTATGGAGGTTCCTCAAAAACTCAAAAATAGAATCACCATATGATCCAATAATTCCACTGCTAGGTGTTTCCCAAAGAAAATAAAGCATACACTCAAAAGATAGGTGTACTCTGTGTTTACTGCAGCATTATTTATCATAGCCAAGATATGGAAGAAACCCAAGTGCCCATTGATAGATGAATGAATAAAGAGCAACATATGGTTATGTTAACATACAATGGAATATTACCCAGCCATAAAAAAGAATGAGATCTTGCCATATGCAGCAACATGGATGGACCCTGAGGTGTCCGTTTCTTTTTTATGATTTCATTTGTATGTGGAATCCAAAAAATAAATAAAGGAATAAATAAATGAATGAACGAATGGACAAACCCTTATATACAGACAACAAAATGGTGATGCCAGAAAGGAGGTGGGTTGGGGAATGGGTGAAATAAATAAAAGGGATTAAGTGGTATAAACTTTCAGTTAGAAAATAAGTAAGTCACAGAGATGAAAACACAGTTTAGGGAATACAGTCAATAATACTGTAATAAAATATGGTGACAGAGGGTGACTACACTAAATGGTGAGCCTGAGTAATGTATAGAACTGTTTGGTCAATATGCTGCACACCTAAAACTAATAACATTGTATGTTAATTATACTTTAAAAATACGAGCACCTATATAATCTATTTTAACACAAAAAAGAATTTTCTATACACAAAATAGAATTTTCAGGTATCTCCCGTAAATGCTCAATTCACAAAAAAGTTATTTGAGCTCCTAAAACCTACAAAGGAAAACTGAGGTCATGGAGAGGGAGTTAAGATAATACCCCTGTCTCTCAGAATCTTCCAGCTTAGTACAAAAGAGGAAAAAAACGAAAGGAACATAGAGAACTATTACCTAGAGTCTAATTTTGTATAAGAAAAAACCCTGATTTTTAAAAAAACAATCATATTTTATTCTGAAACCCTTCAAAAGTGGAGCCATTAGAGGCAGACCAAGACAGGCATGCTATCTGCTATCACCTCTATTATTTACCTTATTCTGGAAGGACTATATAAAGCAAACAGAAAAATCCTGTCTTTTATATATATCAACTTGCAAAATTGATGAGAAAATGGAATAAAATATTTAACATTTCAGCAGACAATATTTTCATTAATTCTAAATAATGTGATCACTTAACTAGAAAACACAAGAAAAACATTTTTTTTTAATTATCAGAACTAATGATTTCTGTCCCAGTTGCTAAAAATATAAAAATCTTCCAAATACTATCAAATATCCAATTTTAGAGAATGGAAAAAAAATCATATTCATAATACCAAAAAAATTTCCAAAACTAGTAAAATACACATATATAAAATTATAAACTTCATTTAAGAACATGAAAAACTAATTATATAAAAGGAAGGATGGGAAAACTTATTATAAAGATATCAATTCTTAATCCAGAAATTAAGTGTAGAAAAAATAAAACATGAAAAGCCTTTAAAAATTATATTAAAATGAGTATTTTAGACAATTAAAAATTTCTTGTAAGAATAACAGAAACTTCCTGGCTGTGTATAATCATATATTAAAGTCTGAATTAATCAGAACACTGCAGTAGTAGTACAGGAACATACAGATCAATGGAACAGAGTAGTGACTATAAAAATAGACCCCACCTCATAAATACATTTCATATACAATATATATTTCACATACATTTCAAATCAATGGATAAAATAGGAGTTACTCCACAAGGACAACTTGTTTACCATTTAAAAAATGAAAGTGTATCTCTACTGTATTCCTTACATCAAAATATATCACAGATGAATTAAATATTTTGAAGTTAACCATGAAAAAATAAAAAGCCTGGAAACAAAAAATACAAAGTTAAAGATTTTTCAAATGTTGGGGGCAAGAGAAGTCTATTTTAACACTGATGCAGTGGTAGAAATAAAAGAAAGGGTATGAGTTTAACTACATAAAAATGTAAAATTTTTATATAACATAGAATACTACTATGGAATCTACAGGCACAGTGAACGGACAAAAAAAAAAATCCTGAAAACAAAGTTGAAGGTCTCACACTTCCTGATTTCAAACTTGCTACAAAGCTACAGTAATTAAAATATTATGGTATTCGCCTAAAGAGAGATATACAGACCAATGGGATAGAAAGCCCAGAAATAAGACCTCACATACATGGTGAAATGATGTTTGTCAAGGATGCCAGTATCGCTCAATGGAGAAAAGATGGTCTCTTTGATAAATGGTGCTGGGAAAACCAGATATCCACATGTGAAAAATGAAGTTAGACCCTTACCCTGTACCAGAGACAAAAAACTGAAAACTAAAAACGAAGCAAAGACTTAAATATAACTAAAACTAAAGTAATTTCTAGAAGCATGACTTGGCTTATGGCCCTTTTACTCCATCTTCAAAGCCAGCAAGCATGGGCTGAGTTTCTGACCTACTTTTCTGCTCCTCTGTCTGGTTAAAAGCTCATGGAATATTATGCAGCCATCAAAAGGAATGAGATCTTGCCATTTGCAACGATGTGGATGGAACTGGAGGGTATTATGTTGAGCGAAATAAGCCAAACAGAGAAAGACATGTATCATATGACCTCACTGATATGAGGAATTCTTAATCTCAGGAAACATACTGAGGGTTGCTGGAGTGGGGGGTGGGGTGGGAGGGATGGGGTGACTGGGTGATAGACACTGGGGAGAGTGTGTGCTCTGGTAAGTGCTGTGAATTGTGCAAGACTGTTGAATCTCAGATCTGTACCTCTGAAACAAATAATGCAATATATGTTAAGAAAAAAAAAAGAAGAAGAAGAAGAAGGTAGCAGGCGGGGAAGAATGAAGGGGGGGAAATCGGAGGGGTAGATGAACTATGAGAGATGATGGACTCTGAAAAACAAACTGAGGGTTCTAGAGGGGAGGAGGGGAGGAGGATGGGTTAGCCTGGTGATGGGTTTTAAGGAGGGCACATTCTGCATGGAGCACTGGGTGTTATGCACAAATAATGAATCATGGAACACTACATCAAAAACTAATGATGTAATGTATGGGGATTAACATAAGAATAAAAAAACTAAAAAAAAAAAAAAAAAGCTCACAGGATTACTGGGCCCACCCAGACAATCCCACTCAATCTCTAGTGGAAGGTCACTTCTACCATGGAACATAACATACGGGGATTAGGATATGAACATCTGGAAGGTCACTATTCTACCAATCAGAAAAGGCATTTAGAAGAAATATTTTAGGTAAGGGATGAAAACTGGAAATAATTTTCTAAAATGGAACCCTGGCCAATATTCAACAATTATGAAATTACTTCTGAAAACATTAAACCAAACAAACAACTTTAGATGTCTACTCTTCAAATTTTTAAATATATTTCTTGTAGAATATAATTGTCAACCTCTAATGACCACATTTACTAACTAGAAATCATGAATACCAATATCCAAATTAACGTCTGTAACTTAAGAAAATGGTCACTTATTTTTGTTAATGAGAAGCCCCTTACAAATAGACTTTTTATCCTTTCATGACAAAAAAAAAAAATTAGTTTAGTGGAATTTGAACCCAAAATGATGTGTTTTCAGGACTTATTCATATCACTGATCATTTACGTAACTAGTATAAAATTATTTTTGCCATTTTTAGAGTAAGTTCTTAATTTGTAGTCTCTATTTTTAAAAAGAAATTCCCATTATGTTAAGAAAAGTAAAACTATGAATTAATCTTAATTAAGTTGGGAACGAATCTTTTTAGAACTATTGGTATGGTTAATTTTCTATCAAAAATACTTTCAATATTTTTTTCTCTTGTAACACATACCACAGACTTTCCAGTTTTAATCTTCATGAATCATATATATCAAAACAAAAAACAAACCTTTATACACTTCTCCTGAATATCATTTCTCTGAGAAGCAAATTTGAGTAGCGGCTTTTCACCATCCATTCCAGATTCTTCACTTTTTATTTTACTAAGGTGATGATCTGAAATCCAGTCCATGAAGACAGTTAAAAGTTCATACACTTGTGCATTAAGTGGTACCTATAGATAAAAAATTATATCAAACATTTATTTCCATTCACAGTCTCATAAAATTTCAAGAGAAAGCTTTAAATTGGGGGATTATAGAATAATTTACCTAAAGGTCACTAAAATATGTACTGAATGAAAAAGCTTCCCCAAAGGAAATTTCAAAACAAACATCTCCAATTAACATAAGAAACATGTTAAATGATGGTTAGAGAAGGAGAGAAAACCCATCTTAAGAAGGAAATTGAGGAATGACTGGGTGGCTCAGTAAGTTAGGCATCTGACTCTTGATATCACCGCAGGTCTTGATTCTCAGATTCGTGAGTTCAAGCCCCACACTGTGCTCCATCCAGAGCGTGGAGGCTACTTTAAAAAAAAAAAAAAAAGAAAAGAAACTGAGGGATGCTTGGGTGACTCAGTCCATTAAGTGTCCGCCTTCAGCTCAGGTCATGATCCCAGGGTTCTGGGATCAAGCCCCACACTGGGCTCCCTGCTCAGTGGAGAGCCTACTTCTCCCTCTGTCTTTTTCAACATTTCCTTGGTGATTCAGGGTCTTTTCTGATTCCATACCAATTTTAGGATTGTTTGTCCCAGCACTTTGAAAAATGTCATTGGAATTTGGATCGGGATGGTGTTGAAGGTATAGATTGCTCTGGATAGCACAGACATTTAAACAATGTTTATTCTTCTGATCCATGAGCATGGAATGTTTTTCCATCTCTTTGTGTCTTCAATTTCTTTCATGAGTGTTCTATAGTTCCTAGAGTATAGATCCTTTACCTCTTTGGTTAGGTTTATTCTGAGGTATCTTATGGTTTTTGGTGCTAGGGTAAATGGAATCGTTTCGCTAATTTCTCTTTCTACAGTTGCATTGTTAGTGTATAAGAAAGCAACTGATTTCTGTGCATTGATTTTGTATCCTGCCACATTACTGAATTGCTGGATGAGTTCCAGTAATTTGGGGGTGGAGTCTTTTGGATTTTCCACATAAAGTATCATGTCATCTGCGAAGAGAGAGTTTGACTTCTTCTTTGCCAATTTGAATACCTTTTATTTCTTTTTGTTGTCTGATTGCTGTTGCTAGGACTTCTAGTACTATGTTGAACAACCATGGTGAGAGTGGGCATCCTTGTCATGTTCCTGATCTTAAGGGAAAAGCTCTCAGCTTTTCCCCATTGAGGATGATATTTGCTGTGGGTTTTTCATAGATGGATTTTGTGAACTTGAGGAATGTTCCCTCTATCCCTATACTCTGAAGAGTTTTAATCAGGAATGGATGCTGTATTTTGTCAAATGCTTTTTCTGCATCAATTGAGAGGACAATACGGTTCTTCTCTCTCCTCTTATTAATGTGTTCTATCACACTGATTGATTTGCGAGTGTTGAACCACCCTTGCATCCCAGGATAAATCCCACTTGGTCGTGGTTGATGATCCTTTCCGTGTATCGTTGGATCCTATTAGCTAGGATTTTGTTGAGGATTTTGGAATCCATATTCATCAGGGATATCGGTCTGAAATTCTCCTTTTTGATGGGGTCTTTGCCTGGTTTGGGTATTAAGGTAATGCTGGCCTCACAGAATGAGTCTGGAAGCTATCCTTCTGTTTCTATTTTTTGAAACAGCTTTAGGAGAATAGGTATTATTTCTTCTTTGAATGTTTGGTAGAATTCCCCAGGGAATCCATCAAGCCCTGGACTCTTGTTTTTTGGGAGGTTTTTGATCACTGCTTCAATCTTATTACTGGTTAATGACCTATTCAGGTTGTCAATTTCTTCTTGTATCAGTCTTGGGAGTTTATAGATTTCCAGGAAGGCATCCATTTCTCCCAGGTAGCTTAATTTATTGGCATATAGTTGTTGATAATAATTTCTATTAATTGTTTCTATTTCCTTGGTGTTAGTCATGATATCTCCCCTTTCATTCATAATTTTATTAATTTGGGTCCTTTCTCTTTTCTTTTGGATAAGTCTGGCCAGTGGTTTATCAACCTTATTAATTCTTTCAAAGAACCAGCTTCTCGTTTCGTTGATCTGATCTACTGTGTTTCTGGTTTCTAATTCACTGATCTCTGCTCTAATCTTAATTATTTCTCTTCTAATATGTGGCTTAGGCATCGTTTGTTGCTTTTTCTCTAGTTCTTTAAGGTGTAGAGTTAGTTGGTAAATTCGGGATTTTTCTATTTTTTTGAGTGTGGCTTGGATGGCTATGTATTTCCCCCTTAAGACCGCCTTTGCAGTATCCCATAGGTTTTGGACTGAAGTGCTTTTGTTCTCATTGGTTTCCATGAATTGTTTAAGCTCTTCTTTGATTTCTTGGTTGACCCAAACATTCTTGAGCAGAGTGGTTTTTAACTTCCAAGTGTTTGAATATCTGCCAATTTTTTTCTTGTGACTGAGTTCCAGTTTAAAAGCATTATGGTCTTTTATGGTCTGACGAGTAGGGGACCCTATTCCAACCAGACCCTGGAACTGAGTTGGATATCTACCGGACCACTCTGAACACCCACGAAATCAGCCCGAGATGTACAAAGATAGATCTGGATCTCTATAAACAGAATATCGCAGGTGTTTGGTTTTGAGATACGAAGCGGGGGGGGCCTTGATTCTGCGGGCAGATATCGGAGGATATGCGGAAGGGGGAGGGAGCCAAGCCATCCGGATCCTACACCACCAGTGAGCAACAGCCTCCCACGTTGTGGACAGGGCACAGACTCACAGACCGGTAGCAGCAGGGAAAGGACTTTAGGGCAGCCCCCTGGACTGAAACCAGCAGGGCTCGACATGTGAACTGGGGGGACCTGGTGGTTTTAGAAGCACAAAGGGCAGAGACATGCCCCGATCTGGAGGCGAGAACTGGGAGCGCTGCTGAGGGGCACACAACCCAGGACGTGAAGTTTAAGGCAGCACACACAGAAACGGACATAGTGTAGCCTGGAGAGCTCACTGAAGAACAGACTGCGATCTCTCCATTCTGAGGCAGAGGGCTGGAAACGGTCTCTTCTGCTCTGACTCTCAGAAAAGATGCAGAAAGCCACCAGGGAAGCCACTAGAGAACAAAAGCCCGCCCAAAACCGGTTTTCACTGAGCCCATCCCCCGCCATGGGGGCAGGGCAACTCTACCCAAACAGGGATGCCTGAGTAACACTGTGGCAGTCCCCTCCCCCAGAAGGAAGGCTGGACGAACAAGAGGCCAGCAAGCCTTACGTCCCTATAAAACAGGTGCATCTTGCTTGGGTTGTGGTCAATAATTTGGACTCTATACATTCCCTCAACCACCCATTAACAGAATGACAAGGAGGAGGAACCCCCAAAATAGGAAAGACTCAGAGACTATGACTTATACCACAGATTTACAAATGGATACAGATATAACCAAGATGTCGGAGATGGAATTCAGGCTAGCAATTGTGAAGATGATAGCTAGAATGAAGAAATCGATTAATGGCAACAGAAGAGTCTCTAAGGGCAGAAACGAAAGCTAAATTGGCAGAATTTAAAAATGCTATCGAGATTCCAATCTAATCTAGATAATCTAACAGCTAGGTTAAGTGAGGCAGAAGAACAAATTAGTGATCTAGAAGACCAATTAATAGACAAGAAGGAACAAGAGGAGGCCAGGGAAAAATAACTCAAAATCCATGAAAATAGAATCAGAGAAATAAGTGACACCATGAAATGTTCCAATGTCAGAATTTTTGGGATCCCTCAGGGGGTGGAGAGCGAAAGGACTAGAAGATATATTTGAGCAAATCGTAGCTGAGAACTTCCCTAATCTGGGGAATGAAACAAACATTTGTGTCCTAGAGGCAGAGAGGACCCCTCCCAAGATCAAGGAAAACAGGCCAACACCCCAGCATGTAATAGTAAAACTCGCAAATCTTAGAACAAAGGAAACCATCTTAAGGGCAGTTAGGGGGAAGAGATTCCTTACGTACAGAGGGAGGAACATCAGAAAAACGTCAGACCTATCCACAGAGACCTGGCAAGCCAGAAAGGCCTGGCAAGACATATTCAGGGTACTAAACGAGAAGAACATACAGCCAAGAATACTTTATCAGGCAATGCTGTCATTTAGAATGGATGGAGAGATGTAGAGGTTCCAAGACTGGCAGAAACTGAAAGAATATGTGACCACTAAGCTGGCCCTGTAAGAAATATTAAGGGGGGGTTCTATAAAAGGAGAAAGACCCCAAGAGTGATATAGCACAGAAATTTACAGAGACAATCTATAGAAACAAGGACTTCACAGGCAACAGGATGACAATCAATTCATATCTATTAATAATTACTCTCAACGTGAATGGCCTAAATGCTCCCATAAAACGGCACAGAGTTGCAGATTGCATTAAAAGACAGGACCCATCCATATGCTGTCTACAAGAGACTCATTCTGAACCTAAATATACATCCAGACTGAAAGTGAAGGGATGGAGATCCATCTTCCATGCCAGCGGACCTCAAAAGAAAGCTGCGGTAGCGATTCTTATATCAGACAAATTAGATTTTAAGCTAAAGAATGTAATTAGAGACACAGAAGGACACTATATCATTCTTAAAGGGTCTATCCAACAAGAAGATCTAACAATTGTAAATATCTACGCCCCCAACCTGGGGGCAGCCATCTACATAAGCCAACTGTTAACCAAAATAAAGAGTCATATTGATAACAATACATTAATTGTAGGAGACCTCAATAGTCCACTCTCAGCAACAGACAGATCATCTAAGCAGAAAATCAACAAAGAAAAAAGAGCTCTGAATGACACACTGGACCAGATGGACCTCATAGATATATATAGAACATTCCACCCTAAAACAACAGAATACCCATTCTTCTCGAGCGCACATGGAACTTTCTCCAGAAGAGACCACATACTGGATCACAGATCAGGTCTCAACTGATACCAAAAGATTGAGATTATTCCCTGCATATTCTCTGCACAGCAATCTTTTGTTGAATTTGATCCTGCGGAGCCATGACATCTTCATCACAGGCCAGCCAGACAGTTAACACCTTCAGAGTCACACTGCCCAATGGTGGCTCCTGATTTTGTAACTGAGATTCCTCCAGAGCTATCTTTAAATGATGCTGTATTCCCACTTCATGAAAAGAACTAGAGGATTTATCAAAATTATTAACAGCCCACAGTGAAATATCACTAGCCACCCGCTGAAAAGGTCAAAATGAAAAAGTGTGAAAACACCAAATGTTGGCATAGTTTGGAGTAACCACAACATTCAAACATTGCTAGTAGGAGTATAAAATGGTATAACTGCTTCGGAAAACTGGCAGTTCCACAAAAAGTCAAATATCTATGACCCAAAAATTCCAGTCTTGCTTGTATTTCCAAGGGGAATGAAAACATCTGTCCACTAAAAGCCTTGTACACAAACAATCTTAGCAGCTTTATTCATAATAGACAAAAAGTAGAAATAGCCCAGGTGTCTATTAAAAGAAGAATGGATAAACAAATTGTGATATATTCAAACAATAGAATACTACTGAGCAATACAGAGGAACAAACTATTGATACACCCAATGTTATGATGAGCAAAATAAGCCTTACCCAGATGAGAGCATACTATACAACCCCACTGACTAAAGTTCTAAAATAGGCAAAATTAATCCATGGTGATAGAAATCAGATTAACAGCTACTTTTTGCAAGGAAGAACTGAGAAGGGACATAACAGAACTTTCTAGGATGATGGAAATGTTCTATATCTAGTTGCAGGTTACATGAGTATAGGCATTTGTCAAAACTGACTAAGCTATATACTTAATGATCTCTGCATTATATTACTGTATGTAATTTATACCTCAAAGTAAAACATTCCTTAGGAAAAAATAAATAAATAAAGCCCATTCAGGCATGGATTGCAGTCTTGACAGAAAACATTGAAAGCTTGTGGAATCTTAAAACACAATGAATAATAAAGCTCTTATTAAGCTTAAGGTCTGTGCCTAAAACACTGCTGAAATATTTTGTTTTGCTTTTGTAAATAAAAGCATATTAGAAATATTATACAGATATTTCTCTGTAAAGGAATTATTATGGTGAATCCTTTCATACCAAAATGATGTTTGCCAAAAACAGATTCAAGAACAAAAAGAAAATGTCTTTATTTTCTACTGGAGAAATTTTCAATCGCATCATACCTTGTGAGTTTTTGAGACTGGTACTTTATCTTGTTTTAAACTTTTCATTTCATTAGCAGCATGCGAATTTCCTTTCAATCTCTGTATTGTCATAAACTCATACTTCCTCTGCAACAGTACATATCCATGAATTAAAATACAATTCTATTAAAGGTGGGAAAATCCAAAGGCAATCACTTAAAATTCACTTGTGTCAGGGCACCTGGGTGGCTCAGTCATTAAGCATCTGCCTTCGGCTCAGGTCATGATCCCAGGGTCCTGGGATCCAGTCCTATATCGGGCTCCCTGCTCAGCAGGAGGCCTGCTTCTCCCTCTCCCACTCCCTCTGCTTGTGTTCCCTCTCTCGTGTTCTCTCTGTCAAATAAATAAATAAAATCTTTAAAAAAAAAAAAATCCCTTGTGTCAAAAGAGCAGGCAACTTACCTGTAAATTATCTAAACGAGCTTGAACTCTCTTAGCCTGAATCTCCATCTTCTTGTTTTCTTCACTTACTTCATTTAACTAAAGTGAGAAAACATTAAATATTTCAATATAAAACTTAAGCTGATTTCATACTAAAGATTTTGTAAAGATATTATCTAGTCTGTATAACCAAACAATGTAACAAAACAGAGGTAGCATTCGTAATTAAAGATCACCGCTTATGGTAATTAGACTTATCATGGAAATCATTTTGAAATGTATAAAAATAGTGAATCACTATGATATATAGCTGAAACTAATAGGATATTGTATGTCAATTATACTTCAATAAAAAAATAAAAATTTTAATTAAAAAAAAAAAATCAGAGCTAAAATCATCTGTCCCTAAAGTACTAATAGTATCTAAGTTTACTTCATTCTATAAAAAATTTGCAAGTCTCCTGAGATCTTACAAGTATATGTTTTAATGGGAAATGTCTTTTAATCAAACTTATGTATGTACATGAAAGTGTACAAATCATTAAGTATGCAGTGTAATGAATTATTGAAATTGGATTAAATGTATAAATTTGGGAAGAACTGACATGTTTATAAATATTGAGTCTTCATATGTATGAACATAACATAGCCTTCAAATTATTTAGATCTATTTATTTTCTTTTAATAATGTTCTGTACTTTTCAGTGTATGTGTTATATACATCTTTCTTTTATATTTATTCCTGGATAGCTAATGCTTTTTGATGCTATTATCTGTGGGATCTTTCAATAAATAACACTATTTGATTACAGCTGGTATATAAAAATACAACTGATTTTTGTATATTGAACTTACATCCAAGGATTTGCCTATATTTGCTTTATTCTACTAACTTGTCTGTATATCCATTTGGATACCTGTATATACAGTTACATAATCATGTTATCAGTAGATAATTCTTATTTCTTCCTTTCCAATCCTTATTTTCTATTTTTTTTTCCGTATTGCACTGACTAGGACTCTGAGTACAGTGTTCAATAGAAACAGTTAAGAGTGAGCACCCTTCTTCTGATTTCAGAGGGAAAACAATAACTTAAATATGATTTTGTTGTTGGGTTGTTTTTGTAGATACCTTATCAAAATTAAGTTCTCTTTTATTACTAATATCATGAGTTAGTGCTGAATTTTATTATCAATAGAAATATGATTTTTCTCCATTTATCAGATGTGTTAATTTTCAAATGATAAACCGTAATTTTCAAATGATAAACCATAACTTCCAAGTGATAAACTTTGTAATTCCTGTACTAAATCCATTTAGCTATATTATTTTTATGTATTGCTAGATTCAATTTGCTAATATTTAAATTTCTTGCAACTATATCCATGCAACTGATTTGAATTTTTCTTTTCTTATAACAATCTTGACACATTTAGTTTCAAGGTTATGCAGGCCTCATACAACAAAAAGGAGGGTTTTTCTCTCTTTTTCTATTTATATTTAAGGTATATGATGTTTCCTCCTCAAAAGATAGTCGTAAGTCTTACTGCTCCTTCTCTGAAAGTAAAGTGTCTTATTTTTCTCTGATCACTTTAAAAATTTTATCTTTATCTAATGTTTTCAGCAGTCTTAAAACAATGTTCCTATGTTTGCTTTTTCTCAACATTTATCCTGTTTAGGCTTAACATAGTTTCTTGAATATATAAGTTGGCATACTGTTTTTACAAGTTTTGGATAATATGTGGCCATTTCTCTTCAAATATTTTGTTTTTGCCGTATGATCTCTTTTTGAACTCCCATGTTAGAAATTTTAACAAAACGTATATCTTTTATAAATTTGTTTATTCTTTCTCTACTCAATGTTTTTATTTCAAAACTTTTTAGGAAATCATCTTCCAGTTCATTAATCCTGTCTTCTGCTGCATCTCATCTGCTATTAAATCCATTCACTGGAGTTCTGAAATTCAATTAGTGTATTTTTAAGTTTCAGAATTTCATTTTAATTCCTTTTTATAAATTCTGCTTCTCTAATGAAGTTCTCAATCTTTTTTTCTACTTTTTTGAACACATTAATCATTATTTTAAAATCACTACCTACTAGCTCCAATATCTGGATCACTGCCAGGTATATTCACATTGCCTGGGGCATTTTTGTTCTCTTCATATTGAGTTATACGATTCTGTCTTTTTATAATCTTTATTTAAATTCTAGTTAATTAACATACAGTGCAATATTGGTTTCATGAGTAGAATTCAGTGATTCATGTGATTCTGTCTTTTAATATAATGATTAATTTTGTATAGAATGACAAAGAAAATATATAAATTTTGTACACATTTTCTTTCAGAGAGGGCTCATTCTTTCCTTTGCTAGATACTCAAAATGGGAACTGATCGCCTTATTCTAAACAGGAACTAATATCAGTTAAGACCACATTTCAGCTTGAGGAGGATTTCATATATCTCTAATTTGCCTCCTCCTAGGGTGCAACCCTGATTCTTTCAAATGAGAGCCTATGGTATTCACAGGGACTCTCTAGCCTGATGAATCCTGAATATTAATCCTTGACTCCTCAGCTTGGCAAGACTTAATGGGAATTGTTTTTTTATTATCATAATAATATTGCAGACTTATTTATGTCCAATGCTACCATAAATTACCATACAAGTCAGTCACAGAAATAAGTTACCTTTTTATTTAGCAATTTTGGAAACACAGTTGAGCTTTGAACCATGCAGGGGTGATGGTCACCAACCCCTGGGCAATAAAAAATCCACAAAGAACTTTTGACTCCCCAAAACACTTTACTAGTAGCTTACTGTTGACAAGGAGCTTTAATGATAATATAAACAGCCAATTAACACATATTTTTTAATGTTATATGTATGATACACAATGTTCTTATAATAAAGTAGGCTAGAGAAAACAAAATGTTATTAGGAAAATCATAAGGACAGACATTCCAAGATGGCGGAGGAATAGGAGACTAGTTTTGTCTGGTCCCAGGAATTTAGCTAGAGAGCTATCAAATCATTCTGAACTCCTGTGAACTGAACCAGAGCTCTAAAAGAATTGCTGCAATTCTACAAATAGAAAAGCAAGCACTTTCTACAAGGTAGGAGGTGTGGAGAAGTGAATCCTAAGCAACATATTGGAAGATAAACCGCGAGAGTAGGGAGCTGCAGAAAGCCGGCTACCAGAAAGTAATATAGTAGTATAGCGAAAAATCAGAACTTCTAGAAGTCTGCTCTGGTATATGTCCCTGCCTGAAAGGTACTCAGGTGGCCAAACAGGGAAGAATCCTAGGTGGGACAGTGTGCTCTCAGGATCCCAGGGGTCACAGAAAGAACAGGGGTACCTGAGTGCGTGAGAGTTCCCAGGCATCGGAGCAGGAAAGCTGGCTGCCATCAGCAAGCCCAGAAGTGGGCTTTCAGAACAGTGTTGCCATAAAACACAAACCGCAGAAGGGTTGGGCAACCACTCTCTGAGCAGGGAACCAGCAAATGGCAGAACCGCAGTAAGACAACCCTCCCTCCTGGGGAAGAATGGCATGGGTGCGCGCCAGAGGAGTCTGCAGGCTTTGGAGACTCCAAGCGGGGTCACATGACTGAATAGAAATGCTCAGTCATGGGCTAGGTGAGCACAGAGTGCAGATAGAGACCAGGGACACAGGAATGATTGATTGCTTTACCCCAAGGGCATACTGAGGAGTGGGGGGTGGTCGGGCACGAGCTTTTAGCTCCAGGGCTGGAGACTGGGAGGCGCCATTTCCATTCTCAATCTCTAAAGCCACGTGTAAAGCCTTCAGGGAACAAAAGCCATATAGAGCAATCCGGGGCCAATTACATAGCCTGACCCCTGGCTTGGGGCAGTGCAGTTCCTCCTGGGGCAAAGACACCTGAGAATCAGTGCAACAGGCCCCTTCCCAAGAAGATCAGCAAGAACATCCAACTAAGACCAACTTTACCAAGCACAAAGAACTGCAAAACTCCAGCACTAGAGGAAAACAGTATATAGAATTCATGTTTTCTTTTCTCATGATTAGTCTTCCAAATTTACTATTTTTCTCTTTCATTTTCACCCAATTTCTTATTGTCAACTTTTTAAAAGTTTTTTTAAATTTTCATTTTTACAGTTACATTCTATCCTTTCATTGTATTTAATTTTATTTTTGTATATACATAAGTTTTCCTTTTTTTACAATTTTGGGATCTAGTTTTTATTTTTTTTTTTAAGATTTTACTTATTTATTTGTCAGAGAGGGAGAGAGATGGAAAGAAGCTGAGAAAGAGTACAAGCAGGGGGAGCAGCAAGCAGAGGAGAAGCAGGGTCCTTGCTGAACAAGGAGCCCGATGGGGAACTTGATCCCAGGACTCTGGGATCATGACCTGAGCCGAAGGCAGACGCTTAACCAAATAAGACACCCAGGTGTTCCGGGATCTAGTCTTCCAACAAACAGACCAAAATACACACAGAATCCAATGAATTGCTCTGTTCTGTTCACCTGTCTGATTATATTCTCTCTCATTTTTTTTATTTTTTATTTTTTCTTAAATTTTTTTGTTTTTTCGGTTCTGGGGCTCTTCTGATTTGCTTAGTGTATATTTATCTGGGGTCATTGTTGACATTTTAGTATTTTGTTCTCTCATTCATCTATTCTTCTCTGGACAGAATTACAAGACGGTAAAACTCATCTCAAAAGAACAAGAGGAAGTTCTGACTGCCAGGGACCTAATCAGTATGGCTATAAGATACTGGAACTAGAGTTCAGAATAACGATTATAAATATACCAGCTGACCTTGAAAACGGCATAGAAAACGAGAAAATCCCTGTCAGGAGAAATAAAAGAACTAAAATCTAAACAAGTTGAAATCAAAAAGGCTATTAATGAGATGCAATAAAAAATGGAGGCTTTACAGATACCTGGGTGGCTCAGTCAGTTAGCATCTACCTTCGGCTCAGGTCATGATCCCAGGATCCTGGGATCAAGCCCCAAATTGGGTTCCTTGCTCAGCAGAGAGACTGCTTCTCCCTCTGACTGCTGTTCCCCCTGCTTGCGCTGTTGTTCTATCTCTCTGACTCTGACAAATAAATAA